AATCGAATCCATCTAATTCAGACATACTGGGTTTATATATCGACCAAACAAACCGCAACGCACCATAAAATAGGAAATAACATTCATACACAATAAAGCCAAAAAGCGGCTGTGAACGTGGGAGACGGTTATTAATATACTGAGTATAATTTAAGAACAGTAAATCGTATAATAATAAATTATAAGTCAAAATGAAGCTTATAATAAGGGGAATATAGATATACATAATCTAATTACTGAATAGTATAGATAATATTAGTCCATTAATAGGTCTCAGAAGTTACTCGTAATGTAATCTTCGCTAGGATATAACAGGTATTACCATATATTTAAAAGTGTTTAGTAAATTCGGGTGATGGTTAATGGTGTAATCGAAGACGTGCGTTTTCTCATGCTTGCGACTATTCATCTGGGTGTGTTAACACTGTAACTCAATCCCTATTTCCTTAGGTTCAGTCTCTTAATAAGTAACATACTGAGCTACCGAGTCTACAGAGTAGCTAGCTAGTTCAGTGAAGATAAATTTAATTTATTTAACTACAGTAACACTTTCGGTTAACTTTTTATTTCTTGTTTATTGTTATTATAACTAGTCTGAATCTTTTTTTTAACGTAAAGTAAATCTGTAATCCCCTTATAGATTTAAACATTCAAACAATTACATTTCCCTATGCCATTTTCAAATATTGTTATTATTATCATCATTATTTTGTTTACTTTACCACTGTTTTGGGGTAATCACTATAAACTTAATTATTTTGTTTCTCTTGATCGTAATTTGTACATGGTTATTGTATATGATCATGTTGTGGTCTCTCTTCGTCTCTCTATCCTATTCCATTTGTCTATAAAGTGAATTGCTTAGGAATATAAAAAGTAATTCAGTTAGTCAGTCAGCTACAACGTAGGACCAGGCACATATATGCATCGGTCCAAGTTGCCATACCTCAATAACACCGGATTCATATAACAATGTAACCGTCGGTTGAAGAGCAATAAGACTAAAAGGAACAAAGGCAAATTCGTACTGCCGACTGTACAGATGTGTGACAGCAGTAGGGTGTTTCCTTCAGACAATCAGCATGACAGCTATGCTGCCTTCCCACAAGGAGGGGTGGGGTTAGAAAACGTCCACCCTAAAAATACACACCTCGCTTTATCCCACGAGTATCCGTCTCTGGTGGTAAGGTCTCAACAAGTAGGGAGCTAACACGAACATTACTCATAAAAAGGTCGTGTGTGACCGACCTCAAGCAGTTGTCTCTTTGGCAGTGCGGTCACTCTCTCAAGTCGCTAAGACCACCCTTGACCCAATTTCCTTTCCAGGAACCTCCAGAAGAACCCTTGCATGGTGTGGGCAATGAGGAATTGATAACTTCCTTATACCTCTAACAACACTCATGATCACTGTATTCATAATCAACCTCCCTCTTCAATTCCTATTATTCCTCCTACATCGACTTTCAACGCTAAACGTCCTCTTTCGGCTTCCCCTTCAAGTATCATTATAGCCAACAATTCTAGTGCGCAAAACACTGTCTCAAGTCTACTGAAACCTCGCTCCAAACTACACATTTGAACCTTCAACGTACGCACCCTATGCCAAATCAGTCAGCAGGCTTCCTTGGCTAGAACCCTAGAATCTCGTACCATTGATGTATGCTGTGTCTCTGAAGCACGCATACAGGATCTCAGTGTCGTCATTCACTTGTCCTCATCTCGGCAAAACGGAGCGCCAACGAGATACACCCTCCATGTATCTGGTGACCGGACTGCCAGTTCTCTTAGACCGGCAGGTGTGGGCAAAGCATAAAAAGTAATTACAATACGACATTATCAATTTAGCGTCTAAAAAATTACTTAAATTTTATCAATTTTGTGCAAATTTTACGAGAAATCAAGGTAACATCGTATCAGTGTCCAACCGCTGAGTGATAATACGATAATTAACATTTATGGATACATACTCATATAAGCATGGTGGGTTAGATTTTAACAAAATATGTACATAATTGGTTCTTTTTAAGATATGATAATAGAATAAAGATCTGTTTCGTATGCAAAATTCATTTATGTGGCTAGTTACTCTAAATTTTGGAGATTTTTTTATTAAGTGAACGAAAACGGGAGAAATTTCATACCCCCATAGCTCCAGCAACTAGTGAGAGACCTTGAGGAGCAACGCAGATTAGAGTTATGGACATTGGAAATTCGATTTGGGTGATAAAATCCTCGTAAACCATGCTTTGTGACACTAATAATACGGTCTGAATAAGAAATTTTCATCAATTCAAATGAATTAGGACTAACGGCAGATGTATGATTAGGATTTGTACATCCGATCATTTTGATCACATTCTTAACATTATTAATGATACAATATACATTCACAATATCTATCAACATAAGACTCGATTCTACTCAAGATTCTATTACGAAAGCCTGAGTCTGACGATGATTGCAACCTGCATACAAAGATAAAACTGTCTCATAATCCATTAATAAATATTGAATATGAAACAAAATCATCTTCAGGTCTATTAACAGTTCTAAGACGAGTCTAATTAGTAAACATTTCTGTTAATTTTTGTACAGTAGAATCAAAAGAAAATACGTTGGAATTCTGGTAAGATAAGGTTCGAATAATTTTCATGCTCGGTTGCGCCAAGCTTACGAAGTAGAATTCTCACTTTTGAAGAGTCATCATAATGAGAAAGCTCAAATGGGAAAATGTCTTCATACTTGTCGAATCATGATCCCCATGTGACACAGCATCAGCATCAAAATGAAACTCGCTCATTCAGTTGATCAGTGATTCAGTAATTCAGACACTTGTACTGAGTTTTCTCAAATTGAAAACTTTTGTGTAATCATTTCGATCATTTTCAATTGTGATGCTTGAAATTCTCTTTACTGCAGCTGCAAGATTGATTTAAGCTGATCTGCTAAAACAGATACTTGGAATTTTTTATTTTTGCTTGGGTTTGATAAAATTAACGTCATTAGAAACTGTTATGATGGGTGGTGTCCGAAACCTGGTACTGATACAAGATGTGCTACGCGCTAACCCCTCAACTGGCTGCGTGGGCGAGAACACAAGAGTTGACAAGAAAGTATATTGGGCTCCTGAATAAAATGCATAAATCCTCATTTATATATACACAAATCTACGACTTAAGAAATCAATCCATTTCTTAGCTAATAAATCCACCTGTCCTTGATGTCATTTCTGATTGACTCATTTGGCTAATTCTGAATGGCTTACCATATCAGAGGTACCAGACAGGTACCCAAACCTTAGTTGCTCGATAAATTCTGTTTAACCCAGAGGATTACAGAAAAATGACATAAGTTATCAATCAGTGATCAGTCATTGTAAATATCTCATCCCTATATGAGGTCAGTCACGATCCTGTGATAACATCTTTATGTTACATAGGTTGTTTCAAAGTTGTAGATGTAGTTCTTTTCAGTTCATATTATGCATTTCTAACTTTTGAACATTGTTGAATCAGCAGAAAATCCACAAAATTTAGTCATTCAATAAGATAATATTCTAAATCAAATGAAATTATTTTTCCCATTGTGTTTATCAATCCAACTGTTTTAAAACGATGAATATCATGTGTTCTATTACGTAATCACCATAAAATAAAGTTACTCTACAGCACAGAAAAACTTCCATTGAATATTAATGAAAGTAATGGGTTAACCTTCATAGATCATTCATAAGATGGTGATTGAAGGTAGTCTAAAGGAAACCCTGAACATATCTTTCGTACTGTTTGGTCGTTAGGATTCAATCTACACTAAGAAGGACCTGATACACGTGACATTGATCACCAACCAGTGATTAGTCAATTGTAAATAAATCTCAGTCCTACAAGAGGTTAATCATGGCCTGGATATCCCAGTGGTAACGTCTCTGATTGTAAAGCTGGATGACACGAGATCGAATCCGTCAGGAAGCATCAGTTACTTCAAGATTACAAGTACATCTTGCTGACGATTGCCAAATAGCACGAAACCCGGATCCAGGATTTCCTGTTGACTACCTCCAACCACCATCCTATCTCAACATAATGCACGTAATGTCGAGTCACCTAGACTAATGGCCACATTTCAACTTGATCGATAGCAATCGATCTGCACTAAAAAAGACTTGATACACAGTGATTAATCAATTGTAAAATAGATCATTCTTATTTGTAGCGTAGATATTTATTCTAGGTATGGTCAGTTTGACAGTAGAACTAAGAATTGGCTAATTTTTTCATACATTATGCATATATTAGCAACATTAATATTAAATAAAATGATTAAATCAAGTTATTTGACCTGTCTGGTTGATCGATTAATGGCTTCAACTTTAATTCATTAAAATAATAATGGATAGTTGTATATAGTGATTAATATAAATGGTGTTTGTTTTAATATGAATTTTGATATGAACTCTTAACCGTGTCAAATGTATTTCGAGTTTTTATATTAGAAGTTATTTTTGATCATGCACTTATTTATTTACTTACTTACTCCTGTCACCGGTGATGGAGAAGCGAAGGCCATCCATAAAAATTCTCAATCAAACTTCGTCCTGGTACCTCTATAACAACTTTTTAAAAAATTGAAAACCTACAATTATATAACTATATAATATACCCTTGTGGACCAGGGTAATTTTACATTGGTTTTCAGGAGAACCAGACACCACCCGGACTTTCACGTGACAACCCAAACAGTACAGCTCAACCTCGTTTAACAAGAGAACCAGACACCATATAGGCTTTAACGCTATAATCTGATTAGTACAGCTCAATCTAGTGACGCAACCACACAGGTACCAAGCACCTAGGTGGACCATTATATAACTCTTGAATTCATTGATGAGAACGGCAAACGATCTGATATATACACTTGATGATGTTTCATTCATTTCTGTAAATAATTTTATCAGTCTTTAAACTAATCATTCTTTAATTATTAATTTTCTATCTTTTTAGATATTTGCCCTGGTATTTTTAGCAGTGTTAGAAAGTGGTATTCTTTATACTATACTATCACAATGGTTAAGACATTTAGAAGTTGGTGTAACATTTGCTGTTCAAATGTTTCAACCTGGCTTAGAAGATAAAACAGTAATGGCAAATATACAAGAAGCTCTTCATTGTTGTGGTAGAGGATGTAAGTTTTATCTAGTGAATTAATTAACATACTATAGATAAGTGGTTTTTGTAAACTGAAATTCTAGGCATTCATTCTAGGTAACTGGATAGTATCAATAGCTTAGAAACTCATAGTTAACTCGAAAGTCAAATACATAAAACTGTAATTAATAAATCGGTTACAATAACTTGATTTAGTCAGTACTGAGAGATCTTCAAATGTAAAACTTTGTGTGAAAGTGATTAAAATTAGCATTATGATCTACTGAAGTTACCATAATAATGTTCATTATTAATGAATTTTCGGACATTAAAATTATTCACTTGATATTGTTTTACTTGAATCTTCCCATTGATGTTTTTTGGGACTGAAATTGATCAGTCTCTTATTCGAGTAAAACAATATCAAGTGAATTAAACTTCACCCCATTGCACAAGCAAGTGGCTATCAGGACTTAGTAGCTAAGTGGATGACGCGATGGCGTTTGAAGCGAACGGTATTGAGTTCGAGTCCCAGAGTGAACATCAACTCTGAGATGCAGGTACATCCAGCTGACGAGTCCCAAACAGGACGATTCCACTGCTAGTCATTATCCATCTTTGCTTATTAAAATTATTGTAACCCTTATAGTTTGATTAAGCCATATAATCTCATAAAGACTTTATTATGAAGTGATTTCTTTTGTTCTTCGTTGGAGTATCATCGAACTATTGATGTTTATCAGTTGTAAATCTATCGAATCACGTATATGATTCAATATCACGTTAAGCCTATTTATCATCTGTACTTTCGACTTCAACTTATACAGATTAGAAAATTTTCTTACAAAACATTTCGTCACTAATTTCTATGATAACATACTTGAACACTGTAAGTTCTAACCTTAAACTATAAATAATTTTCAGTTATTTACTTGTTTAATTACTTACATACTACCTATTATCCACCATGGAGAACTTGTGGGGCCCTTGGTTTTGTCGTCATTTAGATCGAACGATGTTGTCGAAAGGGCTCTCCACTTTAGTGCTCCGGAATCTGACTCCAAGGAGATCGTAATGATTGATTGTTATTAAAATATAAATGTCGCCTATCGTCGTATATAATCATCGACTTAAATCACGTTAGTCAATAACGGATTTAGATAAGGTATATGGGCTTAACATATTAACCAACACTACAAATTATAGGCCGCCTATCAGGATTTTTCGTCAAATTCCAGTTGTTTCTAAATTACTATTCATTATTTTGGAGGCAGACATCAAAAACATAAATAGCAATTGGAAATCACTGGAAAGGATGTCCCATTTACGGACATTAAAATTGATGAAATCTATCATGATTATGTAAAGTAATTCAAAGATCAAATGATAAAAAAGAACTAATATCCGAAGGCTTAGTCGAGAAATGAATGAATTGTGATATCGAGTTATATAATCGATAAAATGCTCAATATAATATGAGAGGATTGATTACATTGACTGAGTCCAATATTAATAACGGTAGTGTATTCATAAAGAGTATGTTGCAGTTAATCAATGAATAGAGAACAATAATTTTGTTACAAAGATATTTGTGAAAAGAGAGAGATTCTGTAATAGATCAACAGTAACTCACTTAGATATTGACTATTATGATGACGAAAATAAGGGGAATGATTATAAAAATGGCGAGACCATAATTTGTAGATGGAACAATCAGGTACAAAATGATAAGTCTCGGATTTGGAGGCGAAATTCACTCATCCATTTGACGAAATAGTGTTTTGGCATTATAACTGATGCTAATTCGCAAAGAAAATTCTATATCTTATTCCTAATCTTAAACATCAACTGTAAATCATAATTCTAATCCTCACACAGGTTTATAATGTTTATTTGGTCCTAGATATTAGGTGGACATTCTCAAGGTCAGTCTAGCGTCGCTCAAAGGTCTCATCGTAAATATTTCTTATCATTATAAAAGATAGGTCTATTCAAATGGATACCAATGGCTTCAGATGTATGTAAAAGTTATATGCTTAAAGAATGGGTTATATTTAGTAGGATTTAGTTAATGATTTAAAACGTATTGTTTACGATCACTTAATGCTCCATATTTATTTTATTATTGATAAAATCGAAATTCTCGTAGTTACTGTACAAAATAACCCTTCTGATATGAATCAAAATATGCTCACTAGTGACTCGCTTCAAGAGGTATATACTGGAGTTCTAGTGAGAAGCAGTAACCAATGGAGTTCAACCAGGTCTGTGTGAAATAGTAACTCACTGATGACAATAGTAGATGTGTCACTCAATTTTGTGGATTAGTTGGAGTTAGACAATAATACCGTTGGATATCGACCGACTTAGTGGTCTAGATGTTAAGCACTTGCGCGCGAGATCGATAGATCCTGGATTCGAATCTCGCGGGTGGCGGTTTCGTGGATGCGCACTGCTGAGGAGTACCACAATAGGGAGAAACGACCATTCACTGCTTTCAGTTTTTCCATGATGGTCTAGCTTCGATTGACTCATGATCTCAACCATTGAAACTGCTACAATATTCACAAAATCCCTTCTGATATTAAGTTGTTGTTGTATATATATGTTTTGTATCATTTCATCAGTGTTGATTTTTCTCTTTCCTAATTATTTTTCTTTTTTTTTTAAAAAAAAAACACCCAATAGCTTATGACGATTATGGTGTGGCTAATGAAGCAATACCTAAACAACATGTACCATATTCATGTTGTGATTTACAAACTTATACAAATGAACATTGTAATAATGCATCAAAATTAACCAAAAATAAACTTACTTCATTAACAATACAATCACCTGAAATGAATAATCTATTCTATGTTATTCCATATTATTTAGCTTATCCTGAAGGTTGTGTAAATCGTTTAAAAAATTTATTTTTACCAATAGTTATTGGATGTTTTTGTCTTTTAATATCTGTGAATATTATTGTAACATTTATCAATTGTTTCTATGTACAAAAAGCTGCTGATGAAGAAGAATATGAACAAAATTGGCTTGATTCACAAAATTTTTTAAAAGAAACTAAAGGTTAGTTGCTATGGAAGCATAAATATATATAATAGTTCATGTCATTGTTTAAGACAGTTACTCCGAATGGAGCATAGGCTGCCGATCAGCGTTCTACAACTCACTCTGGCCTGGGCCTTTCTTTCTAGTTCTGTCCAATTTTTGTTCATTCTTCTCATGTCTGTCTTCATTTCTCGACGTAATGTGTTGTTTGGTCTTCCTCTCCTCCTAGCTTGGCCTTGAGGATTGCATGTGAGGACTTGACTTATGAAACAGTTGGGTGCTTTCCTCAATATGTGTCCTATCCACTTCCAGTGCTTATTCCTGATTTCTTCCTCCACTGAGATCTGGTTTGTTCTTTCCTACAATAGGTTGTTGCTGATGTTTAAGACAGTTACCTATTTCATATCACTGATGAGCATTGCTAAGGAGTCCCATATAAGGACGAAACGGATGTCGCGTGTTACCATGTTTTCAATAATGATCGACGCGTGAAAATTCAACTGTGAAACTTACAATAGTATTGATTAGTAATCAAAAGCATAATAGGTATGTAAATCAGCTAAGAAAGTATTGAAAGGACAGTGTCATGAAATGATATATATCTCATCTTTGTCTTCAAACGCATTTATTGGAGTTCAGCTTGATTTTTCAAATCATTTGTGTATCCGTTGTCATGTGGTCATTGTTAGCAAAAAGAGCTGTTATATTTTGAGATTGAATAGTTTATTCGATTTTCATAGGAGAATTTGGTTTATTGAACTGGGACTAGTGTAGGTTATGTGGTCTAATGGGGCTAGTCTATCATACTAAGATATATTGTTGGTTTTTCAATTCTTGTTAACCACAGGACACACCTTTCAATATCCTTTTGTTTGACAGGATGACTGGAATGTCAACTTTAAGAAGAGGTAAAATGGATTATTCAGTAGTAGACCACTCTAATCCAGTTACAAAGTTTGTAGTAAATATGTAGAGAGTGAAATCCAAGGAAACACGTTTATAATTAGTCATGCTACAATGTTTGAAGGCATTTCAAGGAGATTTACACAGTTTAAAAATAACTATCATAATGAACTGAAATCATATGAACGACTGTTTTACTCTATTTTTTGGTGTTATTTTATTATTTGTTTATTTATTTAAACACATAAACATTGGTACAAGGAGGCACCAAATAGATATGCGCCACATAAATCATTCGATTTGTGTGAGGGCTGTGATACTGCCTGGGTGCCCAGACCGAAGCAGGCGGTTTTCTTAGGGGGCTACACCCCGAGCCTTTGACCTGGAGGTCTGATCCACAAAGCAGTGGAGCATCGTAAGGAGATGTAGTCCCATGGTAGTCGGTGACCAACGATTGGTTCATACGCCATTTGTTCCCACAGGATACTGGAGCCCATTGGTTTAGAATCCGGTTAAAGAGCCAGACATTCACTTTTCGTCCTCTCATTTTCGTAAACAACACCTCCGCCACGAGAATGCAGTGAGTAGGACTTCCCTGGCAGAGGCTGTATACGCGTGGCCGTGTGAGGGCATTTCGAGGGGGAGCGGGCCCACCCCACTCTCGGCCATACCAGAGCATTTGGGGACTTTGGTGTTAGTGTTATTTAGTTCATAAAATAATGTGAATAAGATTATGAGTGATTAGACTTATGAATTTAACTAGAATTTTATCGTCTACTTCTCCTATAAATGTCCTGGATTTACTCAGAAATACAAAAAAAACCTTATTTTCATGCTTCTAACATGTAATTTGATAATATAAATGTTAACTGACGAAAACAATCGAAGATATTTTGAGTCTAATGTATCCCTACTTTTAGACTGTAAAGTATAAAACCGAATAAAAGTTGACAGCTTTCTTTCTGATGTTACTAATTTTAATTTAGTTTGATTGAATGTACATTTTAGTATATTAAAATATGGATTAAATTATTAAAAAGTAAAGCGATTTTGTATAGGGTACTTTACACTATTTTAATAACATCATTCTATTTTTCATGGAGGTCTGTTCTCTGAGCTGGATGATATAGTCGTGAAGATTTCGTCGTTCTTCTGAATGACATCATTAGCACAAACTTCAGGTAAAAGATAAGTGTTCTCATTTCTCTACATGTGGTTCACAGCTTGTCCTGTAGACTTGGATGTTGATTGGTTCATGTTGATCTTTACTTGAAGTAAACAATGACAGGTTTAAGGTCAACAAGAACCCATCAACATCCAAGTCTACAGGTCAAGCTTTGAACCGTATGTGAAGAAATTCGAATGCTCCATGACCAAACTGTCTATCTCAAAGAACAAAACTCCATCAAAATTATCAATCTGTGCTACAAATCTTCTCCGCTATCTCAACATTATTCTATAATAGTGTTCTACTATTCCATAGAATTCACTTGTCCCACAGAATTTATTTTACAGTTTATCACAGAATAATTTTTTTATCGTTACCATGTTTGTTTGCTTTTTTTTTAAAAAAAATCTGTTTCAATACTTTTCTTTTACAGAAGCATTTTGTTTAAAACCACAAAAACAAGTAGAAATTTCATGTGATGCTTCAATTTCAAATGTAGATGATCTAAGTGTATTTCAAGGACAATTATCCCGTCGACGAACTAGTTCTATACCAAGTGATACGGATTAAATCAATAACGTATTGATTTCATTCTGTTTTTTTCTTTTTGTTATTTTATCTGTATATTCCACAAAGTGTTTGTTTTTTTTGTTTTGTTTTCATTTTTCATGAAGTCAACTATTTCCAAATAGTTACTTCTTTAAAAAAAGAAAAGATCAACAGTTTTTTTGTGTGTGTCTGTGATGAGATGATGAAATAATAATTCTGTTAGAATAACTGTCATGATTCTTCTGTTTGTCTCTAACAATTAACCTTCTTTGTATTTATGATTGTTCTTTGTATGATAACACAATGATATCTATTCATTTGATCATCTAACTATATATATATTATGGATTGAAAAAATAAAGAACCCATACCTCATCGAACTATAAACGTTCATTTAAGTTAATTTCCAAGTGTATGATATTCTATATTTATAGCTTTTCTGATATCGTTACTTAGCGTTTTTTTAGCGAGTTAGTTTTCTACGGAAAGCGGATATGAAAAGAATGAACAACAACTGGAAGGAGCTGGAAAGGATTGCCCAGGATAGGGTTTGATGGAGAATGCTGGTAAGAGGCTTATGCTTCTTCACGAGGCGTAACAGGCGTAATAATAATAAATAATGATATGGTTGCTTGGTTGTCTGGTCGACCGGTCGGTTCGTTGGTTGGTCAATGGCATTTACTTGTTTATTATATACAAGGAAAACATGTTTAATCATAAACTCTCATTCTATTTCGTTAGTATTCATTTTGAAAAAAAACGACATTCACTTGTTTGTTTTTCTAAGCATTTACCATGTGAATATTCAATGTTCAAATGAATAAGAATAACATCTGTATATTTGGTTCAATTTTAATACACTGATGAAAAGGACAGCTAATTATATATATTCGTCTACACGAATGGGATGTTAATTTGCCTTAGATGAATAGTTGGCGGCCTGCTTGAACATCTGGGCTACCTGTTCCTGCCATCTAGATATTTCAACAAGTTATCTAATTTTGTTTGTTTGAATACTTCATTATGTTTATCAATCGCATAACCTATTCAGATGCGTTTTTTGAAAAGTGAATAATCTTTCGTTGTAAAAGATACAAAAGGCCCAATAAGAGGTATTTTGGTCCCTGGCAATATACAACGAAAAAATGTACACTATTCAGATGTTCATTTACTGGACTGCTAAAATCTAACTGTTGATCACTCAATATTTATCGTCAGGATCAATCAAGAAGAAAGAAACGGAAAATTGTTGAACTCATTTGTTTGTGGGGATTTTAGAAATTTCACAGATTGAAATCATGAATCGATTGAAGCTAGACCACTATGGAGAACCTGAAAGCATTAGACGGCCGTTTCGTCCTAGTATGGGACTCCTCAGCAGTGCGCATCCACGATCCCGCCCCCGCGAGACTCGAACCCAGGACCTATCAGTCCCGCCCCAGGCGCTTAACCAACTAGACCACTGAGCTGGCCGGCATCCAATGGTGTTAATGTCTAACTTCAACCAACCCACGAAGTTGCGCCACCGTACACCATTATCTTCAGTGAGCTAATATCTCACAACAGACCTGGTTTTCTATGATGGTTTAGCTTCAATTGACTCATGACTTCAATCTGGGAAATAATTTGTGTTGAGAATTCTATATTATACCAAATATATAATATTGAATAAAGCTAATAATAATGAATGAATAAATAAATACACTAGATTCCCTTCCAGTATCTCATTCTACAGGACTTTAACACAATTCAGATCAAGAATATTTAACTAGTCTGTTTACAACGTAAATATAATTCCACACTGGAAACCGACAACAATCCACTAATAATAATAAACATAGGAGAATATATAACTCATCTAACGCTGATCAGACGCCTGTCAGACAAGTCTGACTAAACAAACAACCAATCATTATCATCCGCGCCCACATATCAGAAATATAAAAGAAAATAATAATATCACATCAGTCAAAGTCTTTGAATAGTTAATGATCTTTCGTGAATATTTTATTTTATGATCATTGAAAATAACAAACAAGCTGTTTTATTCATATTGTGAAATAGATATTTGCTTTAACAGAGACAATACGAGAAATATTTAGCTGATATACACTTAGTATCCTTCATGAATTTAAATAAAGTCAGAACAGACATGAATTCAGAATAATATGAATTCATTATATTTCGTGGTTGTCCATCCTCTGCATGCAATCATATATGCATTGAAAGTTTAAATTGAGGTAAATATAGTGTGAAACAAATGACGTAGATGTTGGTCTACGGTGGTTTAGCTTTAATGGAATCATGAATTCAACTATTAAATTAATAAAAATTGGGGCTAATTTCCTTACATTCATCAGAAAAGAGATTACTTACTTAATCCTGTTACTCCTCATAGAAGAGCATAGGCCGGTCACCAGCACTCGCCATCCAACACTGTCTTTGGCAATCCTTTCTAGCTCCTTCTAGTTGTAATTCATCCTTTTCATATCTACTTCTATTTTACGACATAATGTGTTATTTGGCCTTCCTCTTTTCCGCTTCCCTTCAAGGTTTCAAGTTAGGGATTGCCTCTTGATACAGTTTCATGATTTCCGTAATGTATGACCTATCCACCAACTCCATTTTCTTTTACTAATTTCCTCTTCACCTCGAAGCTGGTTTGTTCTCTCCCACAGCAGGCTGTTACTGATGATATCCGGCCAATGGATGTTGATTATCTTGTTTAGACAATTATTTATAAATACTTGTATCTTCTTGATGATGGTTGTTGTAGTTCTCCAAGTTTGAGCTCCGTACAGTAGAACTGCCTTGACATTCGTATCGAAGATTCTCACTTTGATATTGGTTGAAAGTTGTTTTGAGTTCCATATGTTCTTCAATTGTAGGAATGTGACCCTTGCTTTTCCAATCCTCGCCTTTACGTCTGCATGTGATCCTCCTTGTTCATCGATGATGCTTTCCAGGTATGTGAAGGATTCTACATCTTCCAGAGTTTCGCCATCAATAGTGATTGGATTGTTGTTCTCCGCTTTGAATTTGAGGACCTTGGTTTTCCCCTTGTGTATGTTGAGGCCTACTGATGCAGAGACTGCTGTTACACTGGCTGTCTTTATCTGCATTGTTCATGTGTATGCGATAGGAGAGCTAGGTCATCTGCGAAGTCCAAATCGTATAATTGGTTCTGAGCTGTCCATTGTATGCCGTGTTTTCCTTCAGATGTCGAGGTCTTCATAATCCAGTCAACCACCAGAAGAAAGAGGATGGGAGAGAGTAGACAGCCTTGTCAGACTCTGGTCCTTACTTGGAATGCATCTGTCAGCTGTCCTCTATGCACGACCTTGCACTGTAGTCCAGCTTGCTGATCTCAAAGTTGGGCGTCTACTGCATCTTTCATCCGGTTCAGCAAAGCTCTGTTGAAGAATTTTCCTGGTATTCACATTAGTGTAATGCCTCTGTAGTTTTCACATTTGCTCAGATCTCCTTTCTTTGTAATCTTGATGAGGTGCCCTACTTTCCAGTCCATCGGCACTTGTTCCTCTTCCCAAATCTTTTTGAATTGGAGGTAAAGCATGTTTGTAGTTACTTCGATGTCTGACTACAGTGCTTCAGCTGGTATATTGTCTTATCCTGCTTCCTTCCTGCTCTTGATTTGTCTGATGGCCATTCTGATTTCTTTCGTCGTTGGTGGATTGACATCTATAGGAAGATCTGTGTGTGCTGCTTCGATGTCCGGTGGATTCGTTGGAGCCGGCCTATTCAAGAGTTCCTCAAAGTACTCCACCCATCTGTTCCGCTGTTGTTGAATTTCAGTGATTGGCCTGTCTTCTTTGTCCTTGGCCGGTCTCTCTGGCTTACTGTATTTCAATGCTAGTTTCTTCATTGTATCGTAAAGTTGTTTCATATTTCTTTCCGTTGCAGCTTTTTCCACCGTCGTTGCGAGTTCCTCCACGTATTTCTTCTTGTCGGCTCTAATGCTATTCTTCACTTGCTTGTTTGTTTCTATGTATTCAGCTTGTGCTTGGACTTTCTCTGTTCGTGTTCGGCTGTTGTTAATTGCTGTCTTCTTGTTCTTCCTTTTTTGATCCTGTCCAGTGTTTCTATAGAGATCTATTCCTTGCAATGATGCTTCTTGAGGCCGAGAATCTCCTGATACGTTGAAGTCAATGTTTCTTTGATGCCTTTCCAGTTGTCCTCCATGGTAGTTTCTTCTCCCTTCAGTAGATCCCGTAAGGCTTGGAACCTGTTGCTGAGAGCTATCTTAAATTCATTGAGTTTGTCAGTATCTCGAAGGAAGGCTGTATTGAAGCTCTGTAATACTGTTTGTCCAGTTTTTCTTTAGCTTCAGTTTTAGATTGGCCACAACAAGATGGTGATCTGAAGCTATGTCAGCTCCTCTCCTAGTTCTCACATCTTCTATTGACCTTCGGAATTTTTGTTTGATGCAAATATAATATATTTGGTTCTCTTTGGTGTGTTCCGGTGAGATCAGTGTAGCTTTGCGTATACATTCGTGTGGAAATATTGTGCCTCCTATGACTAATTTGTTGAATACATACAGATTTGCAAATCTGTCTCCATTTTCGTTTCTCTCTCCCAGTCAACCCATGTCGTCCCATGATATCTTCATATCTGGTGTTGTCTATTCCAACTTTGGCATTTAGATCTCCTATAAGAATGGTGAGGTCCTTTCTTGGGCACTTCTCTATGATTGGTTGCAGCCGCTCGTAGAATTGATCTTTAATGTCCTCATTGCTATCATTGATGGGTGCATAACATTGGATAATAGTCATTGTGATCCCCTCCTTTTTTTGAATGATGCTTTGATGATTCTGGATCCGTGAGATTCTCATCCTACAAGTGCATTTAGTGCTACTTTGGACAGCATTAGAGCAAATCCCTGAGTGTGTGGAACATTTTCCTCTTTTTGACCTGAGAATAGTGGCATTTCTCCCGTATTTAGCCTTTATTGTTCAGCTCGGGTCCAATGGGTTTCTCTGATTCCCAGTACTGCCAAGTTGTATCTCCTCATTTCCGTCGCCATTTGGCTGGTCTTCCCGGTCTCCCACAATGTCCGGACGTTCCATGTACCTGATTGTTAGGAGAGGCATTGACCTCGTGACTTCCGAAAGAACTCAGCTCTCACCATGAGGCGTCATAGTTCTTCTTAATGAAGACCTTCTGGCTCCCAGGGCAGGGGTTAAATGGTTTGAATTATTTTTTCTGGTTAGCGTTTTTTTAGCGAGTTATTTTTCTATGGAATAGGGTCTCTAACCACATGCCCGACCCTCCTTCTTTACCCGGGCTTAAGACCGGCAGTAACTCTAGAAACCTACATGCGGAGTTGGACAAAAAGGTATGTTTTTACAGCAATCGCTTCAGAAAACCGAAAAAAGCAGTGTCTCTTTGTTTGTAAAAAATTTTGAAAGCTTGAGGAATGTCAAAGGTATGTCCGATGTCAAGTGAATGCCGAGAT